TGTATGTATGTATGTATGTATGTAACGTAACGTAACGTAACGTAACGTAACGTAACGTAACGTAACGTAACGTAACGAACGTAACGTAACGTAGCGTGACGTGACGTAACGTAACGTAACGTAACGTAACGTAACGTAACGTAACGTAACGTAACGTATGTATGTATCGTACCCTATAGGCGGCCAAACCGCCCAAGCGATCTGAATGCAATTTTCAGAGGGCGATTTTCTATACCCGGGGATTGTTCCTAGTCGGAAAAAATCTGCCAAACCGTGAAACTCACCAAAAAATTTGTGAAAAATCCGTGAATTCGTGAAACTTCAGACAATGTCAGCACTCACTGTACAGTGCTGCCACACAGAAAAATTGACAACTATTTCTTTCCTTCACCTCATCAGCTGCTGGTATTGTGAAACCAAAACCAATACTAAAACAGCACAACCAGGACCTGTTCAGACGTACTACTCACTGAGGTGAGAAGTTCAGTTCAGATGCTACGATCTCAGAATGCATTGTACCATTCGAAAGCTATGCATTTCCACTCGCTGGCCTGTCTCTATCTATACTATATATGGAATTTCCTTTATTCATGATACGATCTCACAATGGATAGCTGTACGTGGGGAGCTCAAGAGTTGGAGACGCCAGGAATCTCTACATATTTGCACCAAAGAATAACACGAAAAACATTGTTTATCAAGAGGCTTTGAAATAAAAAGTGCAACCCATTCGTACATGCTGTAATAATAACTTTTTGTCATTTACACCATATTACTATTATGTTCCAGGGGTTCTAAGTTCGGTTGTGTTGTCATATAAATGTCATACGTAACAGTTTCTTCCCATGCTTATTATCTTATTAGACTGATTTGTAAACATTGATATTGTGTGCAATGTTATTGTCGATTTTTACCCAATGATCCTATTGTATCCCATTATTAGTAGTATGAATTAGTAGCACGATTTTACCCAGCGCAGCGGGTACCCGCAGCTAGTATATATATATATCAGAAGTAGATAATAGGAAATTCTCTATATATATATATTATGTGTGTGTATATACTATAGACT